ACGTAACGTAACGTAACGTAAGTAAGGTAAAGTTAACGTTTAACTTTAACGTTAAACGTAAACGTAACGTAAGTAAGTAAGTAAGTATTACTATACTACTACTACTACTCTCTCTCTCTCTCTCTCTCTCTCTCTCTCTCTCTCTCTCTCTCTCTCTCTCTCTCTCTCTCTCTCTCAATGAAGCTGGTCTCACCTTACAGCCTCAGCGGTATAGAAGGTGTCCGGCCTATTTCCTAGCTTCATAAACTTCATTTCTGAGATTGTTTCTCCGGACCGCGACCACGGTCATCCGGAATTTCTCCACACAAAGCAGGAATTATATCCCTCACAGTATGATCCAGCCAAGAAAAATCTCCCTTCTTTTAACCATCCCCAAATCAGAGAGGCATAATAGAGGAGCTATTCAAGTTCAAGATCCATGTATTCCATAGAGGCCACCATGAAACCTGCAGAGAGTTCAATTATCACTCTTTCTCAGAAACAGTTGGACTGAGAAATTAAAAAAAAAAAACAGGGTACATGTATATTTCAGGAAGAGAAAAGCATGAAGAGAATCCAAGAAATGAATTGATGGGCCAAAAGAAAAAGGAGTAAACCTCATGGGTATAGCAGGTCAAGGGCAATCAATATGGTGGAACAGTAAGAGAGGCAAAGCATGAAAAAAATCAACAGTAGAACACAAATCAATGTCACTTCAGAGAGAAAACAGTAAGAATAAATGACAGAAAACTAATCGATTAGACAGGCAAACAAACAGGATTAAGAGTGGTTTAAATGTTTGAAACATCGTCTCCCCTTTTTAAGTCTACACGTCTAAAAACTTAACAAATACTTTTTCTCTCTCTCTCTCTTAATTTGGCACCAGGGACCTGATTGTGCCCCATTTCCTGTCCAAGAAAATCTTTAAGCTAAATCAATTGAGAGCAGGAGAGACCGACATTATCGAGCTAATAATAATGACTTGTTTTCTTCTCTAATTCATGTTCCCTCTTTTGCCGAATTCACACCGAAAGCCATCAATTCTATGCAGAAAAATGTAGAACAACTAAAAAGAAAACATTTAACAAAGCAATGTAGCAAATGAGGGAGTTCCACAAAAAAAGATGGGAAAAGAATAGAAAAAAATCTATGATCCTTGGACATACAAATTTCAAGGCATGATCGAGTAATGATCGAACTGGAAAAGCAAAAAGCCTAGAAAAAATGAAAAACCCATTTCAGAAACAACATATAATTCATGAAAGCAGACCAGAAGAGCATCTTGACGCCCTGAGTTTCTTCTCATCACATCAAAAACAACTTCAACTTCATAAAACAGAACATTCATAAAAAAAACAGACCCAGAAGAGAAAATGACATATACCCACCTCAAAACATCAATTTCACTCTCATCACATCACAAAAAATATCAAATTCATGAAAACTGAGATCATCAGAGCAGACAGCATAGACCCACCTCAAAATCAACATTTTCTCTCTCATATCTCGCTCGAGAGAAAACCCAGTGAAGCAGGGGCAGGAAAAACAGCCAGAATCCGCAAAAAACCTGCCGGAATCCAGCCAACACGCCTGAAAAAGATGATGATACTCTCTCTGAGAAAAGCTGGTAAATTTGCAGGCTTTGCTTTCTCTCTCCAAAATATTAACACTCCTTTCACAGCTTCAAAGTTGAAAACTAAGCTCAATCACCACACGTGAGAAACTGTGCACCTCGCACGAGACCAATCCTCTCACTCCCATCATTACTTCGCAATCTCTTAATTCTCTTTGGGAATTTACTTTTAGTCAACCCTATTTTATACGCAACATCGTACACCTCTAGAGAGAGAGCAATAATATATAAATATATAAATAGAAATGAATGATATAAATAATTTATTTTAATGAATTAATTTTTAGAAAAAAGAGGAAATAAGAAATGAGTAGATCCCCTTGCTTTATAAGCGCAAGTGGTGCAGAAAATTAGAAAAATATAAAAATAAAACACAAAAATTATGAGAGAGAGAAGAGGAGAGAGAAAAGGGGAAAGGGAGGATCATCATGCCTATCCCACTAGCCTTTCACATTATATAGAATAGGGCCTCTTGAAGAAGCCCTTATGTTTTGGGGGCAATATCTGAATTGGCCCTTAAAAATTCCTGGTATTTTTATTTTTTTTGGAGTAGGTTAGAAGAGTTAGTGTTTTCAAGTGTCACCAAGAATAGATATCGTGACCAGTGTAGGTGTAGGAAGTGCTGGTGAGAATAGAAGGTGCGATAAGTGTAGGAAAAATCGAATCTTAATGGTTAATAAGACATGTTGTTGGAAGTGGTTAATCAGACATGCTGTTGGAAGTGGTTACTCGGTACTAACCAATAAATCTGTCGATTCAAACTTACTTAATTGGGCAAGTTTTGGATGGTCGAAAAAGTGATAGAAAATTAAAAAATCATAAAAAAAATCTAATAAAATATAAAAAATATATTTAAAGCATAATTAAACAAAGCACATCTAAATAAAGTTAAAAATTAATGAAAATTAGATTTTAAAGAATCAATCGGTGTTTAGAAGTATTTTTAAAATTTTAAAAAAGATAAAAAATATAAAAAAAAATATTTATGGCCAAAACAACTTCAATCTTTGTGAAAATAATAAAAAACTATTAAAAAATACATTACAAATAAAATCCCTTAATTTTTGAGATATTATATATATTTTTTTTTAAATACCTGGCCAGCTCAACAAAATCCATTCTGATTTAACAAGACGGTTAGAATTTGAACCGCGTGATTTTTCCTACCCTGTGACCTTAATTGTCCTTGCATATTAGTCCTTTAATTGTCCTTGTATATTAGCCGTTAATGTGGTTGTGACCTTTAATTGTCCTTGTGTGTTAGCCCTTAATGATGACGTAACTGGATTAATGGGAGGAGAAGAATCCTAGAAGCTGTAAAGGGCATGAAAGTTAATTTAACGCACTTTCTTCTTTCGTTTCTTTTTTATTTTTTTTTGGAGGGAGGGCGGGGGGGGGAATGAAACAATAACTGCGAAATATTTCCTTATCAAAAGACCAAAAGAGTTTTTTTTTTTTTTGGCAAGGGTACTGGAACTCAAGTTGTTGGGTTCTAAAACCTAACCTCTGCCATCTTGAACAAAGCTCATTTCTTTAATTTCTATGACCAAAGACTTTTTTAAGTTAATTTAATGCACTTTCTTCTTTCACTTTTTTTTTTTTTTGGAAAGGGGGTGAGGGGAATGAAACAATAACTGCAAAATATTTCCTTATCAAGGGACCAAAAGAATTTTTTTTTTTTTGGCAAGGTTACTGGAACTTAAGATGTTGGGTTCTAAAACCTAACCTCTACCATCTTAAACAAAGCCCATTTCTTAATATAAAGATGAATCCACAAGAGCTAGTACAATTTAATTTCTATTCCACTGTGAGGGGGAGGGGGAAGGGTCTTAATATAAAGACGAATCCACAAGAGCTAGTACAATTTAATTTCTATTCGACTGTGAGGGGAAGGGGAAGGGGAAGGGGGGGGGGGGGGGGAATGAAACAATAACGAAAATGTTTCCTTATCAAAGGATCAAAGAGTTTTTTTTTTTTTTTGACAAGGTTCCTGGAACTTAAGATGTTGAGCTCTAAAAACCTAAACTATACCATCTTGAATCAAGCCCATTTCTTAATATAAAGATGAATGCACAAGGATTAGTACAATTTAAAGACGAATATACAAGGACTAGTTTTCTATTCCACTAAGTGTGGTGTCTCTGTGTTCAAATCCCAGCTTATCCATCTGGAAAAAAAAAAGAAAAGAAGAAATTTTACAAGAAAGATGGGACACAAATGTGTATAATCTTTTAGAAGAAAGAATTTTAGCAGACATATTAATTGGTTAGTTGTTGACGATTCCACGTTCAATTAAAAAAGGAAAATGAATGCTAGCAGTCATGGACCACAACGTGTGAAAGAAAGAAATTTTGTTGCAGACCAAATTAATGGTCGGAAAAAAAGAAACAAAGAAAGAAATTACACTGCAAATATGTAGGGATCATAGATATTTTCTATGTCAACTTGTGGAACTTGTTAAAGAAATAAGTCTTGGGAAAATTGAACCACAATTTTTGTTGCATTTATTGGAGGGAGGGAATACTAAGTTTAATTGAAATTCAATGTGTAAATGATAGAAATCCTCGAACAAATATGGGCCACATTTAGGGGTGGTAACATATCAGATCCAGCTGGACCCAGACACATACCTGAATAGTATTCAGGTCTAGAATTTGGATCCAGACCCGAACCCATAAGATCCTTGGGACTAATCGGATCCATTGCCATCCTATGACTATGAGATTCTTTTTTTTATTTTTTTTTACCTTTTTTTATCATTATATACCTTATGACTATGAGCTTATTATTATTTTATTTTTTGCCAATAATACTATAGATGATACCAATATTGTGACAATATAAATATTTAGTACATACTTAAAGACACATGATTGCCATCATATACCCTAAAATTAAAAGTACGGTGGTGTCCAACTAAACCCGAATCTGAATAGTATTCGGGTCCAAAATTTGAACCCATATTCGGACTTAAAAGTCAGGAATACCCGTCGCTCTCGGGTCTAGTCGGGTACTTGCCACCTTAATCACATTGTCATAGAAGAGTTCAATGGGTATATTTGATATTGGCGACCTATAGTGTGGGTATTTGTGTGAGGGAAGGATGGAGTTGATGGGTAATTGGGTTTGGGTAAACGGTGGTGGTGTCCCTTTCCGTGCCCCCCAACGGGGGTGCCAGCCGACAACGTTTATAAAAAGCATGACTTTTTTGCCCCCCACCTTCTCCCACACGTGTGGAGCCCATGACACGTAGTGGTGTCACTACCGCAACTAAGAGGTGAGAGGGAGGAATATAGAGATGACAGAGAGTAGGGCTGGCATTGGGTCGGGTTGGCTCAATTTAATAAAACGTCCGGTTTCTATAAGGTTGCAATGTTAAACAATCCAATTAAATTGCACCTTAAAATTTTATCATAATATGTAATTTTATTATAAATTTTTTTTAATATTATCTTAAAATCTATTTTCATATCTAATTAGAAAATCTTAAATTTCAAAAATAGTTAAAATCAAATAGATCCATAAATATATGAAAATCTTGAAAATAGACGGTCTAGATAATGTGTTGCAAGATGTACTATTTTCGGTACTCAATTTTTTTTTTTTTCCCATATTCATACATCTCAATGTCGAGATGATCGATTAGAGGGTTTTTTCAACATTAAAACAACATTTTCGACAGATTTTTTAGGTGCATATGTGATTCTACATTTTAAGGTTGCAACCTTATATGAACATTTCCCTTTAAGAAAGTGATGGTTTATATAAGGTTGCAACCTTAAACAATCCAAATAAGACGCACTTTCAAATTTTAATTTTATTATAATATGTAATTTTGGTATAAAAAATTCTTAGGATTATCTCAAAATTTGTTTTCATATCTAAATATAAAATTTTAAACTTTAAAAATGGTTAAAATCAAGTAGTTCTATAAACATATGAAAATCTTGAAAATGAATATTTCAATGGAGATTTGAAGTGCATCTGGAATTCTACATTTTAAGGTTGCAACCTTATATAAACTTTTTCCTTTATAAAATAGGGCTTAAGCCACAAATTGTGGCATGAGAGCTAAGCTAGGGCCAGTATAGCCCAATTTCGCCTGGGCCCGACTCTCTATTTGTTCTTCTTCATTTATTTCTGGGCCGGCCCTTGCCCCATATTTCCTTTTCTTCTAAGCTCATCTGGTATCCCAAGGTTTAGGAGTTAATTCTAAACGGGAAATATCCTATATCACTTTCAATGGGATCTTTTTCTTGTTTGTTTCTTTGTTGTATTTAAGCTAAGTTTTAGGGTTTTGAGGAATTAGGAAGCGCTTTTCACATATTTACAGTGTATGTTCGTGTCTCTTTGAGTCAATTTTTATTTTTAGTTGATATTATTGGACGATTTCCCGACAAAGTTGGCTCAAATTTGGATTGTCTTCTTTGACAGGCATCTTATCTCAAGGGCTTTCGAGAAGATCATGTATTCTTGTAGAATACCTGCAAAATATCTCTTTCTATTTTGGAATTTCTATGGTTGCAAAAAAAATAAGGGGTTCAAAATATTCCAATTACTATTGGAGGCAATGTCTTAAACACCTCGCAATCTACGATTTTGACGGGATTTGTTCACTACCAAACTAGTTCCAAGATGGTATGGGTCTCAGTCAGATCCCTCAAAACCCTCCTTTATATATTTTTCTCTCCCTTTGTTTTTTTTTTTTTAGTTTATCTGATTTTTTTTCTTTGCTCCCTCTAAATCCTCACTCCATAAATCCCAAATTTAATTTTAATTTATTTTAAATATTTTTCTAGATCAATAAATCAAACCAATCCAAACTCGATTCGAATCATCGAGCCAACAATCTTACCCATATTTGTCGGTGAACAATCCGCCCCACTTATCCAGGTTTTGAATCACTAATTGGAGGGTTGGCTTTTAAATTGTCATCTTACTCAGTGTTTCTTCGAAATATAGGAAAAAGATTATATAAGGTTGCAACCTTAAAATATAGAATTAAATATCAACATAAAAAATTCATAGGAAAAGGTTGTTTTAAAAATAATCATCTCCGCATTGAGATGTATGAATATGGGAAAAAACAAAAAAAAAGATTTTGAGTATCAGAAATAATGCATCTTACAACATATTATCTGGACCGTCCATTTTCAAGATTTCCAAATGTTTATAGATCTACTTGATTTTAACCATTTTTAAAATTTGAAATTTTATAATTAGATATGAAAATAGATTTTCAAATAACCCTAAGAAGTTTTTACACCAAAATTACATGTTATGATAAAATTAGGAGGTGCGCCTTAACTGGATTGTTTAACGTTGCAATCTTATAGACACTACACCCCAAAATATATCATAAAATTGCACAAAATACCTATGTTTAAGAATGAAGACCTCGAAT